ATATTGGTGATATCTGAGTATCCTTGCATCTAATTTTCTTATGTACAACACTTTAAGATTTCAACTTGGTATCAAAGTGATCTATTGGAATTTTTGAGGTCATAGAAATACTTAGGAGGCTTTGAAGCGGCTGAAGTTGTTGCCGAAAAGATGACGTCGTTGCCTGAAAGATAACATCATCGCCGGAAAGATGACGTCATCACCAGAATGTAGTCAAAACAAACCAAACTCATCATGGACCAGCTTAGTTTTCTCATTTGAGTATGACGATGATTTTTTTTGAATTGTTTTTCAATTTTTGAATTTTTTGGACCATATTATATGATCTACGATTTGGCTGAGATCGGGACCATTTTACCCACTTTGGTACCATTGGTGATGTCAACTAGGGTCCATAAACACTCCTGGTGAGTTTCGTGTATGGATGTTTTCTGGGCAATTTTGGGTATTGGCATTGTAGTTTTTGGGTTTCAACCAGTGTTATTTAAGGCGTTAAGCGAACCGAAGCGACCAAGGCTCTTAACGCCTAGGCGAGAAGCGAGAAGCGAAGCGAAACGATTTACCAAAGCGAAGCGAGCAGTTAAAAAAATAAATAAATATTTTAGTGTAATTACTTATACACATCAAAGTTTTAATTTTATATATACTAAATATTTAAATACAAGTAAAACCATAAACATTTAAAGTAAAACCATAAACATTTAAATTAAAATAAACACTAATAATATTGCAAATCTTAATAACAGTCATAGTTTAAACATTTAAATTCATACAAATACTAATAATATCCCAAATCCTAATATTTAAAAACATAAGACACATAATTCAAGCAACTAAAGAAAATATCTCAAGGACTTAGAAATCAATCCTCATCACTAAAGAAATCATCTTTTTCATTATCCTTAGATTCATATCCCTCAGTATCCTCCTCCTCTGCCTCATCTGAAATTATGTCTTCCTCATCTGTGAGTCCAGTCGTCGATCTTGTAAACCTTGGTGTTATCCTAGTAGATGGTATTGATCTAGTCCGTTGGCTACTTTCTGTAACTGCAGAAGCTCGAGCGACTTCGCCCCAAGTCAAAGTATCATCACCAAACACAAGCTCATTATCTTCATCTGTGTCTGCATCCATTCTCCCAATCAACCACTCATTGCTATCATCAATATCCTTCAAAGATATTGGATCAATTGTGTCACGAGAATCATATCGGCGCCTCAAAGCTCTATTATACTTAACAAACACCAAATCATTGAGACGGGATTGAGCTAGTCTATTTCTTTTTTTGGTGTGTATCTGCAATAATTTATTAACAATACATTAAAATTTATAATAAGATTAAAAAAAAATGTAATTGAAGAGGTTTGAGGATGATACTTACATGCTCAAACACACTCCAATTTCGCTCACAACCGAATGCACTACAAGTAAGGTTTAAAACTTTTTTTGCAAAGGTTTGCAAATTTGGAGTTGCAGACCCATATGCACTCCACCAATCAGCTGTGAATAATGAATAACAATTAATTAACTAACATATTTAAGCAATGATAATGAAATAAGCTTGTGGGATAACATAGATTACCTGGTGCCCTAGTTGTTCTTTGTCTAACCGCCATGGGCAACTTAAAGAGGTTTTCACCTTTCATGTAAATACTCAACTCTTGACCAATTTTATCTTGTATCGCAGGATTTGAGACCAACTTTTCCAAACATTTATATAGGCCATTCATGACTTCTTGATCTTTCTCAACCTCTGGATTGGAATAGAAAAACTCTGGGTTCAAAAAATACCCAGCTGCATGCAAAGGCCGATGCAATTGAACTTCCCACCTTCGGTCAATGATTTCAAATATGTGTTTGTACTTCTCTTCATTGCCATTAAAAGAATTAGCAATCGCTTCTTTAGCCCGGTCCATAGCTTCATAAATGTACCCCATGGGAGGCTTTTTCTCACCATCAACCAATCGAAGCACACGGACAAGAGGGTCAGTAAGCTTAAGAGAGTAGACAACATTACTCCAAAATGAAGGCATTAAAATGATTTGTGCTGTCCTTTTGCCTTGTTGTTCTTTTGCCCATTTGCTTGTAGTCCATTCCTCTGAAGTGAACATTTTTCTCAAGTTACCTTTTTGTTGGTTGATCCTTGTTAGCGTAAGAAAAGCCGTAGCAAATCTAGTTTTTGCGGGCTTAATCAACTCCCTTGACTGGGTAAATCGTCTCATCATATTCAACAGAGTTGGACGGTTATAAATATAACCGTGTAATGCTATTCCTCTTTCAAATGTTCTCTTGAAGTTTGGCAATTTGAAGATATCTTCCAATACCAAGTCCAAGCAGTGGGCAGCACATGGTGTCCAATATAGATTTGGTCGTTTTGCCTCCAAAAACTTACCTATTAAATAAAGATTTTTTTACCAACTAGTGTGCATAAAAAAAATTCAATATAACAAGTAGTTATCTTTTTTTTTTTTTCAAGAAGCTCATACCTGCTAACACATTTGCTGCCGCATTATCAGTGACAATTTGAATCACATTAGCTTCACCAATACGCTCTACAAAATTATCAAGCAATTCAAACATTTTTTGCCCATCCTTTGAGTATGCAGAAGCATCAACAGATTCAAAGAACATGGTCCCTTTTGGACAATTCACTAAGAAATTAATCAAGGTTCTCCCTCTCTTGTCAGTCCATCCATCGGCCATTATGGAACATCCATATTTTGCCCAATCCTCCTGGTGATCTTTCATCAATGACTTTATATGCCCTACTTCTTTGTTGAGCAATGGGACCCGAACCTCATGGTAAGAAGGGGGTTTCAAACCAGGACCATATTGTCCAAAAGTTTCAACCATTGCTGCAAAACTTTCATAGTTCACAACATTAAAGGGAATTCCCGTGTCATACATCCATCGGGCAAATGTTGTGATGGCTCTTTCTCTCATTTCCTTTCTAAAAGGATCGCTGGCATCAATATTCGTTTGTCTCCCCTTGGTCTTTCGATTTTGCACCACAACATTCGGATCAGGGGTGAAGTATACATCCATAGGCCTTTTTTGTCTTGGCTTTTTTGGTCTCGATGTGGCTTGTGTAGAACCTTGACTAGAACTAGTCATGGATCTTTTACGATTCGCAACAATCTCTACAATATCATCTTCATCCTCCTCCAAGTCATTAGGCATCTCATCAAAGTCGGAAACCATGTTCATTAGATTCTTCTCTTCCTTTTTTTTAGCCATGTATTCTCTAATCTCCTCCCTAACATGAGCAGGGCATTTTGGACAAGTAATAACACTCGTAGAGTTCCCTGCTAGGTGTTGCTTGACCCGATAGACACCTCCATTTGACTCTTTTCCACAAAAATTGCATTTGAACTTGTTTGTGTTTTGAGGATTTACCAAGTGTGCATATTTCCATGCCGGATCTTTTTTGTTCCCTTCGGACGACGATGCCATTTATGAATAACACTATCACACTACAATCAAAGGAACAAAACACATTCACATGTACTGAATCACATTTTATATCAGTTGTAAACAATTTTATATTGACAGGACAGGACAACAAAAGAAGCAGAATCAGGACAGCAGTAGAATGCAACAACAAAAAAAAAACAGACGACTGAGGAAAAAAAAATTGAAGCAGCACAGGAGCAATTTCATAATGACTGGACAGAAGCAGAATCAGGACAACAACACAAAAAAAAAAAACCAGAAGCATTACGTTGTAAACAATTTCATATTTAACATGTAAACAATTTAACTTGTACTGAATGCATTAAGTCTTGCATTTTCATTTGTTTGTATAATTCTTATGCAGTCTCCGACCATATTATTACCAAATGAAACTAAGCTTACACACGATTATTCACCAAAGGCATGCCCCACCTCAATTTTTTTTTTCACAATAAGTTATTTTTAAATTTATTTCTCAAATTCAATCACTTTTAAAAAGACATTATTTTAAATAACGCCTTCATGAATTAAAAGATTATTTGAAATAATGTTTTTAAAGACATGATTTGGCATGACGCCTTTAACGCACTACACATCAAATTTAGTTCAATATTTATATTTAGTGCGTGAAAAGCGTTATATTTAAATTGTTCAAAAACAACAAATCACGTTAATATCCATCATTCTCAGAAACCAGTCATTGTCCACTTATTTCCAAAACAATCAATGTCATGAGACTACAAAAGAGAAGTCTTTAAAAACTTTTTGACAACTTAGACATAATTCATTCGATTTTGGAATCAGTTGGAAGGCTTTGACTTCATGAAACATTCCTGAAGACATGAATTGCAAGATTAAACAATAGAAAAGATATCAAATATAACACCATGATTTAAAATTTTCAGTCAGAAAATGAAAGTATCAGATAAAACGGTTTATTTAATTCATTCTCAATAAGTCAAAATGCTTGAATCCTTTTCCACACAAATGTATCTCGCCCCAAGGCACTTGGCCTCCGCAAGAACTGCAAGCACAGAAAAGGCCCCAGGTTTACTTATGCAGGCAATAGGCCAAGAATAGGGAAGCAATACCATTCCATGTAAAACGTCAAGTATCACTGCCTGCATTCTAGTCCAAAATACCATTGCAAGAACAATTGAATCTGTATGTTAAATTTAGTTCACCTATAATGATCATATCATGTGAGAGTGAGATGCCATCAAAGCTTAATTAAATTGTATTTCGGACTGGAGTTTCATTCACAAATTTTTTTTTTTTTTTTGTCTAGGCTTACATATGGTTTTAACTCACATTTTTATGGGATCTTCACATCGAATGGAGTTTGGACAGCAACACAAGGAAAAAGCAAAAAAAAAAAAAAAAAAACAGACGCATAATGAAACAAAAAAGAAGCACAATCGGAGCAGAATAGGGTAGAATCAGAGCAGGATAGGGTAGAATCAGATCAAGAAAAAAAAAAAAAAAAACCAGAATCGGTGAAGGAGCAGAAGACAGAAGAAAAAAAAATTGAAGAGAGAAGAAGAAGAGACTAACCTCCACAGTCCAGACCAGCCCTCCAAACCCTCAGTCCAGCAACAACAATGGTGTAGAAGTAGCGAAAACTCGAAGCCTTGGAGTGTAGCACTGGAGAACAGTACCGATCGTGTAGCAGTGGAGAGCAGCAATGGAGAGCAGCACCAAATCGGTCGTGTAGCAGTGGAGAGGAGCACCGATCGATCGTGTAGCAGTGGAGAGCAGCACTGATCGAAGCAGTATCGATCGAAGCAGTGGAGAGCAGCACCGATCGATCGTGTAGCAGTGGAGAGGCAGCACCGATTGAAGCACCGATTGAAGCTATCTGAGAAAAAATAAACAAAATTAGGTTAGGAGTTTTATTTATAGGATAAGGGAATAATTCGGTACATTAACATCTTAAAATTTGTTTTGCAATCGCCCAATCCTACGGTCTAAATTAAAAATAAAATATTTCGCCTCGCATAACAAAAGCGATCGCTTTTTCGCTTTTTTCGCTTCTTCGCTTTTTCGCTTTTTCGCCTCGCTCACGTTCGCTTCGCCTGGGTTCCTCCAGGCGAGCAAGTCTCGCCTCGCCTCGCTTCTCGCCTAGGCGAGCGCCTAGGCGCGCTTTTCATACCACTGGTTTCAACAGTGTGTTTTTGGCCTTTGTGACTCCGTCAGTGAGTTTTCTGGACTTCTCTGACTCCGACAGTGAATTTTCTAGCCTTTGTGACTCCAGCAGTGAGTTTTTGACCTTTTGGAACTCCGACAGTGAGTTTTCTGGGCTTCTGTGACTCAAGCAGTGAATATTTTTTGCCTTATGGGACTTGGCCAGTAAGCTTGTTGCTACTGTGACTTCGGTAGTAAGCCCTTTCTTTGGCCTTTGTGATAATCTGTCCTTTATCTCTATTTCTTTAAGGCTTTGTGGTGTTACAAACATAGTTATCAAATCGTGTATCGGAAGGCGTATCGTTTTTTAAAAATAGTGTATCGTATTGTGTATCGTTAGATACGGTGTAATTTTAAATAATTAATAATAAATATATGTTTACAAATTTTATGGTGTTTAGATGTAATTTATTAATGGATATATTTACAGTAGCGGTCTAAGTGTTACGTGTGTATAGATTTTAGGAGGTCTTTGTATAATATTTCAAATGTTAGGGGGTCTGTGTATAATATTTCAAATATTAGGGGGTCTAAATGATTAAGTAACAAATCTTAAGGGGTCTAAGTGCAATTTTTCCTATAACATAATAGAGACTGCCTGCCTCCCTGCCTGATCAGAAAAGAAAAAAAAAAGACGAGAGACTGAGAGAGAGGGAAAGATTGCGACTGAAGAATACCCAGTCGAACACTCACCGAAGGCTGAAGAGCACCCAGGACCAGAGTTGAAGACGAGCGAACACCCAAGACTAGGAGGAGTCACTGAAGGCTGAAGAACACCCGGACTAGAGTCGAAGACCAGCAATGGCAGTGAACACTCCGAGCCGAAGATCAGCCAACCAACGAAGAAGGTAAAAAGGGATTTTATTTTTTTTTGTAAACCCTAGCCACTGAAACGGGATAAAAAAATCAGTCTCTTAGTACAAAAAAACATCATTTCATAAAAAAAATTAAAAAAAAAAACAGTCTTTGCACGTATCATGCGTATCGTACCGATACATATCATATCGTAAAAACGTATTGTGTATCGGACGATACAATGCAAAAACGATATAGAACTATGATCCGTATCGTTTTACTCCTGTATCGTGACGTATTATACGATGCGCGATACATATCGTACGATATTAACAACTATGATCACAAGTAGTTTATTTTTTATTCTCTTTGTGCTGGTTAACCTCAATTTGCTGTTTAGAGGTTTGTCTTGTGGTGCAAAAGGCTTCCTGTTGCTGAATAAATATATCAGGAGGTAGTACGGAATCTACCGGCACTTAGAAAAATGGGTTGAGTCGAGTAGGGACTCTTGAATGTAACCCTTCTCTCCAGATCAGTCCAGTGAAATTGCATATCAGTAATTATTTGGCCTGGTCATGTCTGTTCATTCAGTGGATTTCAGAGAACTCGTTGGTAATTACATGGTGACTCAACTCAATGTAGACACACATCAATTATGGTTTCCTATTTCTTGAGACAGCCTTTGAGATTTGGTTAGCTGCATCTCAGACCTATTCACATGTTGGGAATGATGCCTAGGCTTATGAGCTTCAGAAGAAGATTCTTGAAACCAAATAGAGGGATATGATTATGGTAGAGTATTATGTAGGATTGAGTAGTCTGTGGTAGGAAATGAACTATTATCAAGATTTTCAAACAGATTGTGTTAGAAATTAGTAGAGAAGGAAAGAGTATCTTATTTTCTTGCTGGCCTTAACATGGAGTATGATCAGACCCATATACAGGTCTTGGGCTGAGATCTTTTTCCTTATTTGTGGTAAGTATATGCTTATGTACAATAGGAGAAAAGTAGGAGGAATGCATGCTTCATAATCTTGCCCATGATCGATATGCCCTAGTAACTAGTCCGTAGAGAGAGAGCAGATCTTTTCAGCCTTGTGGTGATGGAAAAAATGGGAGTTTTGAAAATGATTTGGTAAAATGTGATTATTGTGAAAAGATGAGGCACACCAAAGACCATTGTTGAAAGCTACATGGTCGTCCATCAAGGGGGTATAGTGGTAATTGGGTTGGTCCTGTATGCTTACATGTTCATTTGACTTGCTAATCCTATCTCATCCTCTAGTGGGCCATCTCCATCTACTTATGTTGATAGTGCAAGTTTCAATGCGGATGAGATGCAAGTTCTTAGGCGTCTGATGGCTCCGTTCGATACTTCTTCTGCATTTGTTTTCACTTGTGTTGTTTCTGACTTTGCTTACGCAGGTATACATGCCAATGCTTTTACTGCCACTTGTTCTTCTAATCCTTTGATTATCAATTCTAGAGCCATTGATCATATGAATATATGATGGGTTTTTCGAGTCTTTCTCTTATTATTCCACATACTGCGGTAGAGATAAAGTTAGGATAACTGATGAGTCACTGTCATCTGTATCTGGGAAAGGTTCCATCCATTGTTCTTTATCTATTTCGTTGTCTTCGGTTCTTTATGTTCCTAATTTTTCTACTAACTTATTCTCAGTAAATACTCCAAATTATTTTGTAACATTCTTCCCTTTCTCATTGTGTCTTTCAGGAACCGGTAATGGGGAGAACGATTGGCAATGGTAGAGCTCATGGTAGTTTATATCTGTTGGAGTAACAACTTTCTCAGGCACTTTAGACTTTTGGTTCTATGGCCCTCCAACAGATACATCAATGGCATCAAAGACTAGGTCATCCATCAGCAGGAGTAGTAGAGAAATTTTTTCGACTTTTAGTGAAACAATGTAATAAAGATAACTTTCTTTGTGATAGTTGTGAATTTGCCAAGCATACAAGAACTTCTTATCTTAGTAATAATAATAGAAGCACTGTTCAATTTATGATTATTCATTTTGATGTGTGGGGACCATCTCGTATTGTTTCTCTTGCTGGATATCGATAGTTTGTTAATTTCATTGACTGCTACACTTAGGTTACTTGGGTTTATTTGTTACATAGCAAGGATGAAATGTTTATTTGGTTCAAGAATTTTCATAAATTGGTAAATATTTAGTTTGATGCCAAAATTAAGGTTCTCAAGACCGCTAATGGAATTGAGTACTTTAATGGAGAATACTAGACATATCTTATGGAACATGAGATTCACTATCAATCTAGTTGTATGGATACACCTGAGTAGAATGGTGTAGCAAAAAGGAAGAATCGATATCTCTTTGAAGTGGCGCACTCCTTGATGTTTACTATGGGCGTACCTCAGTCCTTTTGGGGAGATGGAGTACTTGCTATTGTGTAGCTCATCAATCGGATACCTTCGAGAGTTCTTGACTTTGCCACTCTTATAGGGTTGTTTCAAGGGTCAGTTTCTCATTATTCTATTCCCCCAAAGGTTTTTGGTTTCATGTGTTTTGTACATCATTACCAAAAGACCAAGGGGAAGTTGGATCTAAGGGCGTTGTGTTGTTTTTATTGGCTACTCTACAATCCAAAAGGGGTATAAGTGTTATCATCCTCAATCCCACAAAGTATATATTAGTATGGATGTCACGTTTCACGAGGCAGTCATATTTCTCTACTCTTTCACCCTCTCGGGGAGCAGTGTATTCAAGAAGAGATGCTAGAGGATGGATTTCTTTTCTTACCTCTCAATTTGTGATTTTGGGGGAGCCTTAGGGAGAAACACCTATTCAGGCGGAGTGGACTACCTACTTGTGGCAGATTAGATAGAGATGATTTGTAGTGCTATACTCGATGACAAACAAAGTAGATCACCGTCCATATGAGTCACCTACTCAGTCATCATCTCCTAACTTAATTCCTGAGATCTCCTCCCCTGCATCAGGTAATGAGCTTCTTTGTAGTAATCCTGTTGATGATAGTTCTTTACGTATTGCTATTCGGAAAGGAGTCTGGACTTGTACCCACATCCTATTTCTAAGTTTGTTTCTTATGACTATTTGTCATTCTCCTATCGTTCTTTTGTTTCGTTTTTGTCTTCTATGTCTCTTCATTAGAATTGACGTGAAGCCCTTGCATAGCCCAAGTGGAAAGTAGCCATGATAGAAGAAATGAGAGTTCTAGGAAAAAATGAAAGTTGGGAGCTTGTATCTCTTCTAGTTGAAAAAAATCAGTAGGCTATAGGTGGGTGATTACTGTCAAGCTGAATACAAATGGTATAGTGGATAGATACAAGACATGACTGGTAGCTAAGATATTTACTCAGACATATGACCTGGACTATCAAGAGACTTTTGTCTGTAGCTAAGATGAATTCTAGTCGGGTCATTTTTCTTTTGTTGCCAATTGGGATGGGATCTACAACAACTGGATGTAAAGAATGTATTTCTTCATGGGGACTTGGAGGAGGAAGTGTATATGAATATTCCTCTGGGTTAAACCAGTCTCCTAGAGCTTGGTTTGACAGATTCTATAAGACAATAGTCAAGTTTGGGTACAAGAAATGTCATGCAAATCATATTATATTCATCAAACAAGCGAGTGGTAAGATCTTAGTTCTTATGGTATATGTTGATGACATAATGCTCATAGGTGATGATGTGGGGGAAGTGACCAAATTGAAAGTTCACCTTGCTAAAGAATTTGAGATCAAGGACTTGAGGCGTTTACATTATTTCTTAGGGATTGAAGTGGTCAGGTCAGATAAAAAGATCTTCATCTCACAGAAGAAATTTATCTTTGATCTCCTGAAGGAAATCAGTATGTTAGATTGTAGACTGTCAAAACACCCATCGAGACAAACCACAGACTGAAAAATGATGAAGGTGATCAAATTGATAGGAAAATATATTAGACGCTAGTTGGGAGACTCAGAGACATTTTTCACACGTGCATAAACATAGCATATGCAGTGAGTGTTGTTAGTTAGTTCATGCATGCTTCTCGAGCCCCTCATCGAGAGGCTGTTCATTATATACTGAGGTATGTCAAGTCATCTCTAGGCAAAAGAATATTGTTCTCAAAACAGGATCATATGAAATTAGAAGCTTTCACAGATGTAGATTGGACCGACTTAATTGATGATAGGAGATCTACTACAGGTTGCTCCACCTTTGTAGGAGGAAATCTAGTTACTTGGTGGAGTAAGAAGCAAGCAGTGGTGGCTAGATCTAGTGCAGAGGCAAAATACAGGCTATGACTGATGGTATTTGTGAGTTTATGTGGCTGAAAACTTAAATGGAAGACTTGGGGGTCTCTACTGGTAAACTTAGGCATCTGTATTGTAATAATAAGACTGTCATAAATATTGCTCACAATCCAGTCCAGTATGATAGAACAAATCACACTGAGATTGATAGACATTTTATTAAAGAG